AGTGCAGGGGAGGGGGCTGTTGCTAACCCAGACAGTGTGTGTTTTCCTTCTCCCCTCGGCCCTTTTCTCCCCAGTGCCCCCCGGCCGAGCTCTGGTGGAAGATGGCAGTGGATGCTCCGCTCCCAGACAAAACACGCGAGGCTGTTGTTCGGCGGCAGCCGGCTCTTCGCGCCGCTGGCTCCCTGTCAAAAACCCGACCAGCTGCCCGCTTTGTGCCTCCGCGAAGTTTTGTTTTAGCTCGCTCCGCCGAGCCTCTTCCCCTGCCCTCTGCTAAAACGTGGGAGGTTTTTGGGTGTTTTTTTGTTTGTGGTTTTTTTGGTTGCTTTTCGCACCGAGCACCGCCGTCCCGGTAAGGGGCGGGGAGGGGGGGCGACACACGGCGTGGTTGCGGGTCGTTTTCCCAACTTGGGCGAGGAAAGCGGGGCCGCCCGCAACTCCGAACGCCACGACCCGCAGGCGTCTGGCGACTCTTTGTTCGCGGCGGGAGCGGGCACGGCAGCGGGGGGGCTGGGGGTCCTCGGCAGGAGGGACTCAGACCCCATCCGGCAGCCTTGTTTTGCTGAAAGTTGTTCCCTTTTCCCTTTATCCCTTAACACAGGAAAAAGTAGAAAAGTTTCGACACAGGCTTAAAAGGAGGAAGACACACACACACCACACACACCCCAAAGTAGGGCTCTTTAAGTTTCTTTGTGTTAATTTACAAACTTCACAGTTAGAGGATTGCTACTCTGCGCTAGTGGTGCTTTAAGTGCCTTTAAATTAAGAGCTTCGCCACAAAGACGCGGAACATGGTTTCAGATTTAACGCGTCTGCGCTGGCTGGAAATAAGTTTATAGCAAAGCAGTGTCTTTTCAGTTGCGATTTACGAGTCGGTGGTGTGGATGGAAGGGTGTTTTGCATTCAAAGACCATTAAATTACCGAAAGTGGAGGGTTAGATGGGAGCAGTGCGCATGTTCAGTACTCCGGAGTTGTGCTGTTTTTCCCCTACTACGCATTCCTGCGGCTCTATAGTAGAGCAGCCTCGCTCATTGTTAATATCCTCGGAGCAATTAGCGCATATGTAGTTCGTGAAATCATTGGGCTGCTGGAAACGTGATGCGCTAATACGGTTCGTAGCCCGGCTAAGAAGCTTTGGACGTGCCGCTCATCTAAGAGGAGCGCACACAAAGCCGGGGGGTGGGGGGGAGGGAGGGATGGAGGCACAAAGACGAAGTTTGAGCAGCGGGCAGGAGGGTGGTGGTTGAGCCACCGCGGGAAGAGGGAGTGCTGCAGCCCGTCTGCAACATGTGCTGCCGGTCGGCCGCCGGCGCCCGCGGACGGTGACAGCACCGGCTTTAACGTGCGTTGGTCCTCTTAGCTACGTTGAGATGCTTAACCTTGTTGCAACCAGGTTTGGTGGTTGGTTTTTTCTTCTTATGTTTTATGGTTGCACTGAATTAATTTAGCCCAGTTATTTTTAGGACATTCCTATGCTCCCTATTTGCACAGCAGTGGTGAGCTGGTTTCCTGTCTGCTGTTGCTTCCATTGTTCAGACTTCTCTCCCCGAGGGCAGCTGCTGGTTGGTGAAATACCAAACTCTCTGCACTTTCAACTGTTGTTCTTGCCACCCCCGAAATAAATGCGTGTGAAAAACGCTGACGTAGTTTCTAGGTATGCATGTGTAGGGCTTTGTATGTGTGTGAGAGAGGGGGAAAGATCTGCTTTGAGGATTGCAAGTCCTGGGCTGAAACAATGGAAACAATGAAAGGTGACAGGCGGGAGGGAGAACTTTTGAGAGGGGCCATGGGCCTGGGGTTTGCGTGGCAGAAATTAAAAGGTGAGGAGACAAAGACGGAAACTTTTAAAAAGATGTTAGGGCTAGGGTGCCTTTGTTTTATTAAAGGCTGGGCTTGTAGTTATTTGTGACCTCCTGGCATTTGAGGCTCACTCAAGAAGTTTCAAAGAGTGACTTTGTTACCGATTTCTTGCTCGCACTCCCAGAAAAATCCCGTGTAAAGAAAAAAAAAATGTATACTACAGCCAAGTCTGGCTGCTTTAGAAGCAATAGAGCGCAAGCTGTGAAATGCAGAGGAAAACAAATAAGATGGTTCCTCAATTATGAAAGTTATTCAGAGGGAAAAGGGTTTTTTTACTGTGGAAATTCCCTTCTGCATCCTCGTAGTTCTTGGTTACTCATGAATAATATTAAACTAATTTATTTTTGTTGTTGCTTTTTAAATTCACATTAAATTTTAGTTAGGTTTTTTGTTTGTGTGTTGGATATTTTTTTTATTGGTTGGGTTTTTTTGGTGGGTTTGGGGGGCGTTGTTTTTTGGGTTGGATTTTGGTTGGGGTGTTTGGGGTTTTTTTGGCTAACAGGCTGTGGATTAAAACCCTGAGGACTCTTCTGTGGATAGTTTCATTTACAAATAATAACGTGATAGCAATCACACTGAACATACTCAGCTTGTTAATTAACTGATTTAGAATACAGTCTCACAAAGACATGGGCATGTGCTCAAGTTTGTACATGTGAGGAATCCTACTGAACTTAGTTACAACAGGATTGGGGCCTTAGATGGGAACTGGTTCAGTTTATCTGTGCTCATTAAAAAAAAATCTGATTTAAGAAATTCAGAGAACCCTAAGGAGGTGGGCTGGGAGGTTTTCTGTAAGGTGATTTTTTTTGTCCATTCCCTCTCTGGAGGGCAGAGATTGTTTCTTGTGGTATACTTTGTCCTGTTTTGAATAACAATTGGCTTCTGCCACTTCCTCTGTGGAATCTCTCTCTCGACACAATGGGATAGTTGTGTGTTGTTTTTTTTTTTCCTGACAGGCTAAATTTTTCATTTGCTTAACTTACATTTCGTTTGTCTCTGCCTCTCTAAATACTTTGTCCTCCCCCTCAAAGTATTTCAGCATGCCTTCTCAAGTAGCAGTAGTTTATTTTGAAATCGACTTTAGTCATCAGTGTACTTTTACTCAAGTTGCTTCAAGGTGTTAGCTGTAGGGTGTTGAGCCTAGACTCGAGATCCTAGGTATAATCTTCCTTGAGCTGATTACGGGAGGACCTGTAAAGTCTTTGCACTGTGATAGAATGCAACAGTGCATTCAGTCATGTATATGACTTCAGCTGGGAAGCCAGGAGGATAAAGTAATTTATAAAGGGATGCTGATCATGTAGTTCTTAGGTCATTAAGAGACTGCTCATCCAAGTGGAGATGGCAAGAGTGGAGAATCGGGATTTTGTATTGTTTCTAGGACCTCTCTGCAAATGAACTTGTGCTGCTTTAATTTAGTCCTGTAAAAGCAGTTTTTCCATTTAGATTAAAAGTATTTAGGAGGAGACATAAAATAACCTGGCGCTAGCCTGCTTTTAAGACAGAATAAATTAATAGGTCAGCTGGGGCTACTCGTTGTGTCCACAAGCCTTTATTCTGGGTGTAAATAACAGTAAGCCAACGGTCCAGTCGTGGAGCCTGGCCAGAAGCCTTTTCAGTCTGGCCCTGTTAAAACAGGAAACCAGCAGCGAATAGCCTGATTACTAACAAGACGGAAAAACAAAGCTGGGTTGTAATCAGCAGGAATGCTTTAATGAAAACAGAGCCTTGACAGCAACAACGTGGCTCCTGCTCTAGTAAAAAAGTATCAGCTGGGGTAGTGAGAGATTTCTAGCCATAACTTCCTGTTGCTGCTCGCCCTGTACTGCACAGGAGAGATCTGCCCCAAGTTCAGAGGGCTGATCATCTATTTAAATGAGCTCATTTAAATGAGGAGCAGTTGTACTACACTGGGTTTCCTGCTTAACCAAGACCTGCTTTGTGTCACTAACTTACTGTGTCAATTAATATGACACACTAAGCGAGCGGGTCAAAGGGCAGGCTCTTGCTGTTGACTCATTTCTTGCTAGGTAGGTTACGGTTAGCCAGACGGCAACTTTTACTTTAGCAAAAGATCTTGTTTGCAAAATAGAGAAACGATTTTATGCTGCTGGCTTTCAGACAGTGTTTTGTCACTGGCTCTTTTTTTATGAAAAAGACCAACAGTTCTAGAAGAGGTTTTGCTGTCAAATCAGTTTTCTTAGAGAGGTGCCAGTGGAGTCTTTAAGCTGTGTGTTAGATCTTGGAAAGGTTGCTCCAGATAGGTGGTTTGTGTCTGGAGGACTTTCTGTTATGCCACATAAATATGGCTCGCAAACTGTGAGACACCTAACTTTCTCATACCAGTAGCTTCTTTGGCTTCTTTTTCCTCTTATTTCCAGCCCATACGGTTTGCCTCTCCCTGTTTTCCAAGGTCCTGTCTTGCTGTCTATTATATTTAAAAACAAACAAAAAACCCAACCCATTGAAGTGCTGCAACGCTTCTGGTTTCTGACAAACAAGAACAGTGCACTTGAAAACATGGTCTGAATAGCATAGGCTAGTTTTAGCTAGTTTTAAAATTCAATTTAAAAGGGATGAGCTGCTCTGCAGAGCTATCACGTTGTCTGTGCAGGATCTTTGTTCCAAGAAGTGCTCCTCATGGCTCCAGGAGCCCATTGTGCAAGGCCTGTTCTCAGGTTAGGTTGCCAGCGTGACAGCACTTTCCATGAAGCTATGACAAATAAAAAGCAGTTTGCTTGGAATAATTTTAAAGCAAACTTGACATACTTTCTACATGAATTAAGAACCTGTTTACATAATTTGGAGTTTATCTTGTGTTGGCTATTTAAATATTGTCCTATTGTTCCTGTTCCATGACTGGGTAATTTATGTAGCTAATCATCACAGGAAAAATTTGGCATGTCAGTTTGCTGTTTGTTGGTTACATAAATCAGCAACTGGGAGAATGAAAACAATACTAAGTAAGTTACTAAAGTAACTACACGAGACAAATTGCAGATTGATCATCCTACTGGGACTGCTTGCATATCAAAAATATGCACGGAAACTTGAACAACTTACACTAAATTTAAGGATGTTGGAGCTTTTCATAAATAGGGGGGTAAAGAATAATTTACCATGTCAGCTTTGGCTAAAGTTTGAAAGTGTGGGGAAAGTTTTTACTATGAAGGCTTTTAGTTCTGATGGTAATGGATGAGCAAGTTTCTCCCCTCCTCTAGCTCGAAACAGAGAAAGATATTAAGGGCTTGTTTTCCTGCTATAGTTTCTAGAAAACACTTCTGGATGCCAGTGTAATTTAACTTGAAATTAGTCTTAATTTGTACTAGTTGAAAATGGGTTGTATCTTATTTGGATTTATATATAGTGTATAAGATTTCTAACATTTCTGGTGAGTATTTAAAGCATAGTTTTCTTTGTATTTTACAGTACTAGTTGTTTCCTCAGTGATTTGTATGTCCCACCAAAGGAGTAGAATTGTAGTCGTCTTAACTATTCAATACTTGTTTGTTTTAATTTTATTTATATACCATAGCTTCATGTTACTGGTAGTGTGATGTATATATAGAGGGATAATCAGATTTTGAAATCTGTTCCTTCCTTTGTGTTGAAGGAAAAAGGTGTGTGCAGTTAACTTGTAAATCTGGAGCCTCTGTATTAACTGTAGCACAGAACACAGATTTCCACAGGTATTAATTTCTAAAATCTACAAGCTATCTCTCCCAGGAGGGAAGCATCAGCATGTTACGCAGTAATTAAATAACCCTTTGCTTGAGTTGGGTGTTTAAAGTTCTTGCTTATTGACCTTTTGCCCAGCCACTAGTTATCCTTGAAGCAAAGTGTTGGATGCATACCATAGCAAGCAAATTTGAACAATATTGGCATTAGATAGAAGCTATCTGATAACGTGCAGCAGATAAAAGGTTGCCAGGGGAACAGGAAAATGAGGGTTTTCAGAGAAGAATTCCCCTAGGAACAGATCATTGGTGCTACTTTCTGTTCAGCTGACAGAAAAGCTACAGCTTGACAAGTTAACGCTACAGGACAAATCTCCTGTATAGGATGCTTGCTACACCATGATTCATAGTAAAGACAGTTAATGTAATAAAAAGTGTCAGAACCATAGAATGCTAGAGCTGAGTAGTTTATGGATTTAGGAGGCTGATTGTTCTTGTTGTCTTATAATTGTAGGTGTAGTTGCAATATCAGGCAGTGAAACAGAGGATGATGACACTATGGATGTCCCACTGGATCTTTCCTCATCTGCTGGCTCAGGCAAACGGAGGAGACGTGGCAACTTGCCCAAGGAATCCGTGCAGATTCTTCGGGACTGGCTATATGAGCACCGATATAACGCTTATCCTTCAGAGCAAGAAAAAGCGCTGTTATCCCGACAAACACACCTTTCCACACTACAGGTATTTAAAAAAAAAAAGTAGTTTTTGTTTGAAAAGGAGCTGTTTTTCTCTTAATTTACCTGTTGCCTAGTCACTGATAACGAATGTTTACACTGCATGTGAGATTTCCTCTTTTATTGTTACTCACTCTCCTGACAGCACATGAAAGGAGAAATACAAGTTACTTCTGTGTTAGGATGATTTTTGTTCATTGGGAGTAAAATTGTTTCTTTGGGAGAACAGACAGTTGTGAATTCGAGCATGCATGCTGATTTTTGCAGACTTGGGCCCCAAAAGACATAAAGTGTTGGTATATGACAATTTATTGTGAGAAGAAGGTATTTATTTGTCAACAAAGGTTTTATGGTGATAGACATACAGCTTAACACGTAACCCTTCTAAGAAAACAGCAACTTGAGGCTTTGCTCCTGTAGAACATGCACATGTATAACTATGTGTATGATGACTTCTATTAAGATCAGTGGAGCAACCTATATGGGATAGAGCCACTCAAGTGTGTTAGTTATAGGTATTACAGGTATGATGATTTTTTTGTGTGGTTAGTTTGGATTCTTATTCTGGGATACCACTGGCATCTGCAAGGTCTGTTGGGTGCATTATTCTCTTCTTCTGTGATCATCTTTGGTGGAATAGCTTTTGACAGTTGCTGCTTTCCACCTTGTGGGAAGGTGGCTGCATGAGAACTTGGGTAAACCCTGGGTTTTGGTTTTGAGAGACACTAAATATAGAGCGCTTCTGTTGACTTCTAGTTTTATTTTTCCAGATTAATTCGTTAGTACAAATTTTGTAATTGGCTATAAAGGAAGATTTCCTTAATGTAACATCATAAAGAAAACCTTCTTTATGTAGTAAACAGAAAAAAGACGTTAAACTATAAACTATCCTGTATCGCCCAGGAAACTGGTTTGATATTTAAACAAAGACAAACTTAAATGAGGTAATTCATGTTATGTCTGTCGACACAGTCAGTTGAACAAGGAAAATCAGTAACTATTTGTGGGAGGCGTGGCTCTCTTCAGAGAGAAAATGTTTTCCTGTTGTTAATTAACCTAAGCTAGGGAACAATAGCTAATAGGTTAATGTGTGTGCATAGAGTTAAAAGCTAAACCCCTCTGTTGGGGCTAGCAGTCTTCAGATGTCCCAGGGCTTTCTGTAACAGGAGTGGGGAGCCAGGGGTAGACTGGGACAAGGGAAGCGCCTTTGCCAAGCATGTCAGAACTTGTCAGTAGGTCTCTCTTTTGTTCTGCAGTTAAGGAAACTGCTTGGAGGGATTCATTAATCTAACCCTACGACTCTAATGGCACATAGTTGGAAATGAATGAAGGTAGAAATTAAGATGTCATTATATTCCCAGGTCTGCAATTGGTTTATCAATGCACGCCGCAGGCTTTTACCTGACATGCTGAGGAAGGATGGCAAAGACCCAAATCAGTTCACTATCTCCCGGCGAGGGACCAAGCTTCCTGAGGGCAGCCTGGTGGAGTCTTCTATCAGCACAAAGAACTACATTCCGCTGCTCGAGGAGACTGCCTACCTTCCTGCTGCAGCACCACTCGGCAAGACTTTGTCCTCTTCCAAGCCAGCTTCCCCGGGATCGGTCCTGGCTCGGCCATCGGTGATTTGCCACACAACTGTGACTGCTTTGAAAGACGCCCCTTTCCACTTTTGCCAGCCAGCTGAGGTAGGCCAGACCACAGACCTGCAGCAGCCCCCAGCCAGTGGCTTCACAGACAACTCCCTCTCCTACCATGAGGACGCATCTAAACTGGGACCTGGTGCAAATGCACAGAGCGGGCTCTTTAACACTCCTCCTCCAACCCCACCAGACCTTAACCAGGATTTCAGTGGATTTCAGCTACTGGTGGATGTTGCACTCAAAAGGGCGGCAGAGATGGAGTTGCAGGCGAAACTTATGGCCTAAATCCCCTTCTCCTTCCCCATTTTGTTTTTCCAGGCAGGGATCTTAACAGCTGTGTGGTTATTGCCACCCACACATTATCAAAAGACTTCACTGCATTATTATTATTTTTTTTTATTAATCTTATTTGCACAAGGGATTGCTGAAATGAAGCTTCCTGTCACTGAGATGGTCTTCAGTGGAATATGGTCATTCCAAGAATTATAAACTTAAAGCTACTGTAGAAAGAAAGGATTGTGTGTTGGTTTTTGTTTTTTGTTTTTTGGGTTTTTTTTTTAATGTTTTCTTTGTAGGTTTTTCATAATGTGAGATGGTTCCCAAGATCATGTGATTTGTTTTTGTTTCTTTCAGACTGTGCAATATCTAGTAATGATATAGAGTCTTCTTATCATTCCCATGCGGAACAGAATATACCGACACGCTGTCTAAAATAAATTTTCAATTTTTTTAACAATATGAACTTTGAATGATTATGCTTTTTTCCCATAATGTAATAAAATATTTTCTTTAAAAAAGGATGCATACAGAGTATTTTGTTGAATGTGAGTTTTGCAGGAAACACAGCTTTGCTCTTGAAATTAATGGAAATGGGAAATATTTTTGAGCTCATACTGACTTTGGTTTAGAGAGCTACGGTAGCAGTTGTTGTTAACCAGATGTTTAAAGGAACACTGAAAAGTGGACCAGACCTACCTGACCGTGTTCTGCTATGTTGAATTTTTTTGAAGGGGCCAAAGATAGATATGTAGGCAACCCTCATTAAATTTCAGGGGGATATCATAGGCCCCTCTAAGAATTCCAGCTTTTGGCTCCTAGAAATACTTCAGGGCTGGGAGATGTGGCAGCCCATGGAGAGGTTTTCCTGAAAATGAAACGAGGAGGCCAGAAGAGGGCTGGGGTGAAGCATTCTTTGCAGGTCTTTGTGATACAGCTCCTACACATCACCGGTGTCAAATTTTGAGGGGGGAAGACAAGGGCTCCCACTCTTACTTTTCTTCCACTAACAATGACAAGGTTTTGACTCAGTAATTCTAGTAGACTGAAATAGAAGAGACTGTTGAGTTGAAATCAGTTCTGGGCGCCAGGTCTCGGTGAGAACTTAAAACAGGTTGTTGACTAAGATTTAGAAGAGATCCTTGTTGTATTGGGGTGTATTTTGGCCAACAGAATCTAAGTTACTGTTCAGAAAAGGACTTTGATAGCAAAGTGACTTATTACTGAAAAATGTGAAGACTTGCAGCTCACATTTCAGCTTACTTGAATGTCAGTCACCCACCCTTATCCTTCCAACAGCAGTGAAATAAGAGACCTCTAGGGGGAAAAAAATGGTTCTGGCTAATCCTTAAAAGCAAACCAGTTGTCTGTTTGGGAGGCTGGGGCAGGGCTTTGTGGAGCAGGAGAGATGATGAATTTAAGGATATCATTATGAGTAGAAGACTGCAATATTCAGGCTGCAATGTGTATGCATTTTGTTTTGCTGTGGCCTTTTATCTTTTTTTAGCATCAGAAAAACAATTTTATTTGTTCTCTGGAGTACTTTTTGGAATTCTACTGAACTTCTGACTTTAACCTTCAAGTTTAAAGTCGATATTAAAAAAAAAGGCAAATAATAAACATTGTGGCTTACTCATATCTCCATCAGCTTCAGTAATACAGAGTCATCCTAATATACTACATGCATATAGAAAAAAATTTAAATAATTTCTTTTGAAATAAAGCTACAAAAAAATTATTTTGAACATACAGAGATGGCTGTATGCTTTGTCTTCGAGGAATAGCATGTGAGTCCAGAAAAAGCCTTGTGCCTTGTTTCTTTGGATACACTGTACATCATACTTCTAGGCTATTTTTCCTGGGATATCTGTGTATGTTTTTTTTCAGTTGTTTGGGATTTTTAATGGCTAATTATTAAAAAAAAAAAAAAAAAAAGGAAGTACACTGTTCTGTAACTGTGAGGTCAATGTTAAGGGAAAAGTTGGTCAATAGAGATCTTTTTGTGGCATAGATGATTGTTCTCAAAGGGTGCTAGAACCCAAAGAGGAGTGTCATCTTTGGTAAAGATTTGGAAGATGCTTCCTTGTCCACATGCAGGAAGGAACTTTGTTGCAACACTCCTTATGCCCACGCCTCAAGCACTGAAAGGAAAAGACAACCTCATGAAAATACGTTTGCATTGAGTTGTTTGACTTTTGCCTTGTTTTCTTTTCAAAGCAGGTTGCTGGTGTGCCATGCGGTAGAGAAAAAGTGGGGGACTCGGAACATTAAAGAGCATTCTCAGAGGTCTTTACTCTTCATTACTCAGCCCTTTAAAATAAAAAAAAAGTCAGCAAGTTTAGGAAAAAAAAAGTTGAGCTTTGCTGGCTGAGCTGACCAGTTCTGTAATTCCACTAGAACAGCTGCAGGACTGAAAATGAAAATAGGATGAGGAAGAAAGCTGTTACCATTCAGGTTAACAGTTTTCATTGAAAGTAAAAGCCTGTGGTCTCTGCTGTTTTCATTTACCATTATGCCACACAAAATGGCATTAGTGTAACTGAGCACCAAAGTCCTGCCCGTGTGATGAGCACTGCATTTCCATTTTGCTGACTGACTTACCCTGGGGACTTCACTTGTGACCAGTTTTGCTTGAGGCCATTTTTTATTTTTTTTTTATATTATTACTTGTGTTAAGGTTACACCTAGAAGTTCAGCTGTAGTCATAAACCAAACTCCTTTGGCTGAGTAGCACCTGGCACACTGTGTAAAAGCTTTTCCTTACCCTGAGGTGTTATTTAACTTGGAGGAAGAAAATGACTCATATTGAGTACCCACTAAAATAATATCAAAAGGGAGTTTCTGCTTTCCTGTAATCTAGCACTGATAGTTTTGGTGCGGGCTATTGAAGTTTGCCTGAACATATTCTTTCACAGCAGAAACTTGAAAGTAACTCCAGATAAAATTATCAAAAGTAGGTAGATGTACAGCATCAGGTAGAGATAGGATCAAGAACTGAGCAATAGTCCTTGTAACAAACCAAAGGCCTCATGTGCTGCACACTCATCCCTGGTAGAGCAAAGGAAAAGTTTATTTCTGGAAACCATGGATTAAATTAAAAAAAAAAAAAACCCACACAAAAAAACAGTAGAAAGAAACAAATGAGACAACACAGGCTCATTGCTGTTCTTGCAGCAGTGATAAACCTAATTGCAAGGCAGCTGTATGAAAACCTGACCTCCAACTGCAAACACACACTTAGGCTGACTGAAGATGAACGGAAGGCATTGCCGTGCATTGCTGGAGACTGCACAGCCAGCCAAGGCGTAAGTGAGCTGAGGTATGACAAATCTATGCCAGGGAAAACAGCTCACACGCAAGACTTAGTCAACCTTGTTTTCATGGCTTTTGTGTCTTGTAAACAAGTTGTGGCAGCTGCATGTGATAAATCTCTGTGCAGAGCAAAAATAATTACAATAGGGAGGGAATTGAGACTGGCGTCGCCGCCTGTGTGCATGGGGGTGGCGGTGGTGTCTTGCTGTCTGTTTGGTGGGGGGGCTTGTGGTATCCCACACGTCTCCCAGCTTCTGCCATGAGGTCAGTGTGCACGTCTGTAAAACCGTTGAAGCTGTAACAGCTGGTCTCATGTGCTATGGGGGAGGGAAGGGGAGCAGGGAGAGCACGAAGCTGGGATAACTTGCTTCGGGAGGGCAGCGCAGCCCGTCTGCAAGCTCCCGGGTGATGCCAGTTCCATGGCCAAAGGGATGCTGCTGCTCAGGCAGAGAGGGTGCCCGCAATAACCTCATCGGAAAAGGGGCGGCAGGAGAAAGTAAGCAGAAAGCGGGGGGAGAGAGTGTGGTGAGTGGTGGGGAATGATAACGGTTTTCCCCTTGGAGAGGAGGAGAGGCTGCAGCGGGAAGCCAAAGCAGCAGAAGGTGCAGTGCAGCTGGAAGCCCAGGTGCACCACGACCCTGTTAAGTGTCACTTTTATACCTATGGTATTTAGGCCATTGGCAGTTAACTGCGTGCTGCCTGTCAAAGGCTGTTTTCATTCCTTGTTTTTCTCGCAGCACTTACAGTTTTCTTGTTAACACTTAAAACCTATTCCTGGAGTACTTCGTAGTTCTCTTAAAGCTCGTGTGGATTTTCTTTTTTCCTTCCTTTTCTTGGCATCTTGCAGTTGTCAACTTCCCTCCTAGCTTTTGCCAAATAGGGATTACTGGCACAAATACACTTTATGTTCACTTTTCAGGACATTACTTGTTTTAAGTCTCTTGTTCACCAATTGCCAGACTTGTTACGTCTGTATTCTGTTTTGCTGGTTCAGCAGGCTCTTCAATGAGTTCTAGTGTTCAGACTGAAGGAGATTAGATTAGCCACTCACTCTAGCAAAACGTCACTTAGAGCTGTTGCTGTTCCAGACATAGTAATTGCATCCACGTGTGCTGTATGGTTCAGTCTCTATTCTGGTCCCTATCATGACAGTGACAGAGAAAGTCACATAAAGTGATGCTAGCTACATTACAAAGTCAAAATTCAAACTACTGTCTCCACCTGAATTTTGCACGCATTCCTGCTGATAGCTCAAAGCCATGGCATTTAGCCATTTTGCTCACCGTTCCCTTTGAAACTGGCTTTACTTGCCTTAAAACTTCCCTTTTCTTTCTGAATCTTTTTTAACACCTTCACTTCTGAGGCATCAGGTCTGGGACTAAAACTGGCAAGTATCGCAAGTCTTGCTACACATGCTTGCAGACTAGGGTAGCTTCCAACAACAGATAAACTTCACCACCCTTTGTAGCACTGCAACGCTGCCCCGCTGCGTAACATGAATCACGGTTCCTGAAGCTTGATGCAGACATGAATAAGTCACATCTGCCTCCCAGCTAATCCCTGTTCCACTGGTTAGCAGTGTTTCTGCCAAATTTCATGTGCTTCCATTGACAAAGTGTTGATCTTTCAGCTGCTTACACCCATGTGTAATAAACCTGTAAAGATGCACACAGGTAGCAATGCTTTGAATTAGTGACTTATAGTGACTGGGGGGGTACAGGTGGCAGTTTATGAGGATGGGCTGAATGAATGCAGCTCACAACTATCTCTAACCCTGTTTATTCTCAGGCAGCTTCTCTGGAACCACAGACCAGGGCTGTGGCTACTTTCTCTTAATTGTAGCCAAGCCAGTGCCTGCCTGGGCAATGAGCCCTCTCTGTATGTGTGCAAGAACATCTCCCTCTTAACAGTGAAGAACCCTTGTCTGGGTATACAGAGGCCTTGCACGTGTTTTTTATCATGAGTCTTTCATCATATCATTCAGCTGCTGATGAAAAGGATTGACCTGACTGTAGTGAAAGCAGGTCAATCCCAGTGAGTTTTGCAGGGGCTTGTCTGAGTCTTTTCCTCTCTGCACCATTGCCACGCTGCTGGGGAAATACTTCCCTGGCAAGTGTTCCTGGAGCTCTGCCGTCAGTGGCATTTCACAGGTTGGCAGGGCTCAGCTTCTTTTTGAGAATATTCATTTTTTATCAGTATTAAGGAAA